TTTCTTTTTTTTTTTTTTTTTTTTTTAATAACAGAGATCAAACTCTAATCCTTGCTTTTTTGAGGCAGGCGGCAGCACCACTGAGGTAAATCCCTGGCCCTGTAGCTTTCTTTATTGAGCAAAATGTGAAGGTTTTTGGTATCACTGTGTTTGTTTCATGGAAATAAGCTGGAAGGCTTATTTTTTGTGCTTTCTCGAGCAGTATGAGTGACAGCAGTTACATGTGCTGGAGAGATTTCATAGAATTGTGTGTCCTCTGAAACCAGGTGACAGCCCTTTAATATATTTCTTCAGTTACTTTGTTATAATTGAGATTAAAATTTTGTCTTCTGGACTCATCTTTATAACTAAATAAATTTTAGTAACTGAAATACAAAGGTTAAATATTTTTCTAGAAAATGACCCGCTTCAGCTGGACCTATAGGGTTTTGTGCGTGAGGCTGAGCAAACTAGTCTATGAGCCCTTTACTTTCCACTCTGCTGGGTGTCCCCCACTTTTTATTAACACATCGGTACTTTCTTACCCGCTCCCCACTTTTTTTTGGTGTTGAGGATGGAACCCAGAGGTTCTAAATGCTAAGCATGTGGTCTACTAATAAGCCACACTCCCAGCCTTTCTATGTTGTTCCTTGATGAAGTCAAACTGCAAACCCGTTTAGGCCTAATTAGGATATATTTTTAAATTCTATGATATATCAATAGTGGAGTAAAGACCTTGCCACTGAGCTATGAGTATCTATATATATATATATCTTCTTTTGAGACAGAGACTTGCTTTTGAGACAGGCTGGCCTTGAACTCATGACAATCCTCCTGACTTAGCCTTTTGAGTTCTGGGATGACAGGTATGTATCATCACACCTGGCCTTTATTTTTTATATTGACACAGGGTCTTACTAAGTCTCTGAGTTGCCTAGAGTGGGCTAGAACTTGGGATCCTTCTTCCTCCAAGTGTGCTGTGTGTACAGGCATGTGCCAACACACCCGGCAAAATTCTACAATTTTGATAAGCATGCTGCATTGATGGTTAAGACCCAATGAGATATGATTCGTGAGAGAGCTGTGTAAGCTTCACAATATTGAAATACCCGTTCATTACATTTCAACGCTCTTTGCCAGGACTTAGCTGGACACTGGAGCACTTGGGGTGTAGTAGATATTTGTTATCTCAGAGGCTCCTACAGAGTGTCGAGGATGGTGGTGGGGCAGGTAGAAGGGGCAGTTGTCTCAGGTGAGGTCCACCAACCTGGAGCCTGTGATCTCTTAGAGGAGCTGGAAGACAAGACTGATAAAGGCTGCAGTGGGAATGGGAGTCCCTACGCTGTTTGAGTGATGTTTGAATTCATTGTTGAAAAATCAACAGGTGTTTTGTAGCTCTAAGAGGTCGAGTGAATTCCAGGGGTGCTGAGGCACGTAGTTTATTGAAAATGTTCTCAACCTGAAAATGACTCACCTCTTCCTGAAAAGCCAGTTGAATGATTCAGTGAATATCTTTTAGATCAGGGTACAAAAACAAGGCATTGGGCTTTGGGGGTGGCTTAGCAAATTCAGAACACCTGATGCAGTATTTTGGGGGGGCGATTTTGGTACCAGGGATCAAACTTGGGACCTTGAGCTTGCAAGGAAGGCAGCGGCATCACTGAGCTAAATTCCTGGCCCCAGCTGATACAGTTTTAAAAAGAAGAGTTAAGATAATCTGGAGCTCACTATGAAAATATACAAAAGTGATGAGTTTATACTTTCAGGGGTGAAATTTTATAGTAGCTCTGAGAGGTATAGAGACTGGTAATATTTTCATTTTTTATCTCACCTCTAAAATAACAGCAGGCTTTTTTCCCCAGATGTTCTTCTTTTGGCTGATGAAAAATTTGACTTCGATCTCTCATTGTCTTCTTCGAGGTAAAAAAAAAAAAAAAAGGAGTTTTATTCCCTTGCTTTGAGCACAACATATTCACTAAAGTCTTTCATTGAATGCCAGCATTATTAATCATTAATGATCTTTTTCTCTAAAAATAGTGCAAATGAAGATGATGAAGTCTTTTTTGGACCTGTTGGCCATAGAGAAAGGTGTATTGCTGCCAGCCTAGAGTTAAATAACCAGGTTCCCGCACAGCCCGCCTCGGCGGCACCAGCCAGTGCCTGCACCTGGAGCCCGCTCACTGGGGAGAAGTTCGTGGAAGTGTACAAGGAGGCGCACCTGCTGGCCCTGCAGATAGAGAGTCAGAGCAGGACCCAGGCAGCCCCAGTTGCCCAGCCTGAGCAGACCTGGAGCCAGGGCGTGGAAAAATTTCTCCAGGAGTCAAAGCTAAAAATGAGCCTCTTTGAGAAAGAAGAGGAAACTGAGAAAAGCCCCAAGTCACTTAAAAGAGAAACATACTACCTGTCAGACAGCCCCTTAGTGGGATCGCCACTCTCACAAGGCCAGCCTCCCTCCGCCAAGCCCTTGTTCCTGGCCCCAGGCCCGGCCAGCCCTGCCCCTGTAGGGCAGCACTCATCACATGCCTTGCCCGGGAACCCACGGGCTGCCCACCCTCTGGGTCAGGCGCTGCCTCAGAAGAGGTTGCCCAGCAAGCTGCCACCACCTCGAGCTTCATCTGCACAAGGGCGCCACCTTCAGCTGGCCTCGGAGAAGGTAGAACACTTCTGGGGACCCAGACCCCTGCTTCCCACCTCTGGTCCTTGCCCCACTTCAGGGCCGGGGGTGGGGTGGGGTGGGGTGGGGGAACCTGGAGGTGTGGTAGGAGTCACGAAGTGAGGGCTGTGGCCGCCAGTGAGGCTGGGCTTCATCCCCAGGCAATGGCCTCGGAATACCTTGCACCTCCCACTTGAGAAGGGCCTTCCTGGGGACAGCCACGCCTCATCTGACATGTGTCAAGTGAGAACACGCTGTCCTGGGAAGTGGCAGCTGACAGGTGTCCCACTGGGGTGCAGTCAGCTGCCTGTGGCACCCGGACGGTCCTGGAGCTTGGTGGCAGGTGGGCAGGAGTGTCTGTCAGACCAGGACCGTGACTTGCTTCTAGGTTTGCCTGAGTGGGTTTTTGCCGTTGGGAGGGGAGGCTTGGCTGCCCCTGTGGCTGAGGAGAGACTGCGCAGGGCACAGTGGGCCCAGCTCTGCCTTTGTTGGGCAGCGGTTCAAGGAATGGCTGTGAGCTGTCAGGATGCCCAGCAAGCACCCAGGATCGTCTTCCCCCAGCTCCATACCCATCTCCCCCCAATTAGCTGTGCTCAGAGACCGGAGTGCTCACTGGGGGGCTTCGGGCAGGAGCACCGTGGACTGGGGTGTGGGGGGCTGTGTCCACTCGGATGCGGGGCAGTGTTTGTGTTGGCAGAGCCCGTGGGCACGACCGCACTGCGCCTGGCACATGTGGATGGGGCAGGTGGGCACTGAGCAACAGCATGTGGCCTATCTGGACCGCACAGCCCTGCAGTAGCCATGCTTGCTCTTATGTGATGGCCTGAGAAATCCTGCACAGTGAGAGAAGCCAGGCACAGAAGGTTGGGTACTGTGTGAGTCTCCCGTCCAAGTCTAACCCGGCCCGACCCCGCTTGACTTCTGAGACTGGACCGGATTGGGTGCGTTCAGGGTGGTATGGCCGTAGATAGGTTTACGATGAATAATTCGTGATTCCATGACATGCCTTGTTGGGCGAACCGGAGAGATGGCAAACAGCTGCATGGCTGCTAGGGGTGGGGGAGCTGAGGGGACTGGAGTGCCTGCCCACAGCTGCGGCTTTCTTCTAGCGTGTGGTGATGGTTGTGCAGATAGCAGATACACTAAGAACCACCGAGTGTATGCTTTTAACATGACAGATTCAATATGATGCGAAATATGTCTTTTTTGTTGTTGTTTTTTCTTGGTATTGAGGATTGAACCCAGGACCTTTGCAGTGTGCTACATCCCCAGCTCTTTGTTGATTTTTCAAGGCAGGGTTTTGCTAAATTTCCCAGGCTGCTCTTGAACTTGACAATTCTCCTGTCTCAGTCTCCACGATGCCTGGGCCTCCACTCCAGGTTTATCTCAACTTTTCAGATGCCACAAAGGAAAAGAGCTGTTGCCATGTTGTCATGACTCACAGTGCCTGCCGCTTTTGCCTCCGTGCGAGCATGGAGCAGCTCCACGAATGCCGTCGTCCCTAAATATGTCAGGAATGTATTCTTTGACTTTGAGGCCCAGTGAAAGCAACTTCTGGCAGGATACCAAGACTTATTGCAGTTGGGCAGCGCCTGTGGTGGAGGGGGATTCAGATTGAAGGAGCCTCTGTACAGGGTTTTAGAACGTGTGTAGCTAGAACCAGATTCTCCCGAGTGGTCCTTAAGCAAGAGTAGCTTTCCAGGCCCATGTCCTGCTATGATTTTACACTGTTTAGTGAGAGCCAGGTCTGTCCCCATGTGCATGCCTGGTCATCTGGTGGGGGCAAATGGTCCTGCTCCCCTTGCCCTAATTGAAGAATTGAAAGCCAGGTAGCGTTTGGGAAGAGGAGTGGAGCCTGGGGTGGCTCTGAACAGTAGCTTTGGGGCCTGTGGACTTTGCTATGGTCTAGACAGTCCTCACGTTTCACATTAAATTTTCAGCTCAAGAAAGAGGTACCAGCGAGTCCCTCCCAGGGGAAACTCCTGAATGAAAAGCAACCCCGTGGGGCTGGGCTCCCAGAAAAACCCCATGCGTCCCTGGATGCTGCCAGCCTGCTGGGTACCAGAGGCCACAGGGGCCAAGGCAAGCGATCACTCCTGGTTCCTAGCAAGGTGAGTCTACTGGGGCTGTGTGGCCGTGACCTGTGTGGATGGGCACAAGGCAGCAGCTTGTATCTTAATTAAAGCCAGGGTAGGAAAGTCGGAAATGGAGCCCACCAGAGGCAGCTTGGCGAAAAGCCTGCACTAAAGTCAGGCCTCGCCCTGTACCATGGGCTGGCTCTGCCCTGTCCGAGCCAAGGCCACCTGTAAAAGTAGTGATGGTCCCTGATGTCTCATGGGGCCGCAGCTCCTTATGGCCATGGTAACTGCCGCCTCGTTGCCGTTCACACTCTGGCATTGGTGTCTGCTGAACTATGCGTAGAAGTCATTGTGGACTTTGTGAGAGTAGTTAGAGCTGGGCCGAGCCTAGTGGACTCGGGAGGTTTGAGTTAGAACCTTAAAGTGTCATTTCAGCCAGCTCCCCACAGTGACTCTCGAGTAGACGTGTGAAGCCTCACTTTGAGGACCGTTGGTCCCTGCGCCCCTATGTTCAGCCAACCACAAATTGAAAATATTCCAAAAAATAAGGTGGCATCTGTACTGAACATGTACGGACCGTTTTTTGTCATTACTGTATAAACAGTGGAGGATAATGACTATTCACACAGCATTTACATTTCATTAGGGACTTTAAGGTATCTAGAGCTGATTTAAAATAATAGGTAGCTGGGGATTTAGCTCAGTGGTTCCGATGCCTGCCTTATAAGCGCAAGGTCCTCAGTTCAATCCCCAGTACCAAAAAAAGAAAAAGTGGTTTAATATTTGGGTTGGAGATTTAGCTCAGCAGAACTGCGCCTAACTCACAAGTGCAAGGTCATGAGTTCAATCCTCATTACCAAAATAAATAAATTAATTAAATAATGGGAAACTGCAGACAGATTATACCGCCATGTGCAGAGGACATGAGCATCACGGATCAGACCTATGCAGACACCTACAAGCCCCTATACTGCAAAATTACTTAGCTTTAAATTCAGGATAATTATATTAAAAAATTTTTTTGAGACCCTGCTTTTACAGAAGTAAATATAGTATGGGTAGAGAATGAAATCTTGGCTGATTCTCTATTTTCACTCTCCATCTCAGGTGGGGCTGAAGAGGAGTCTGTTAAAGCCTCCAGGCTGTGCTGGCAGCATCCCGGGAAAGTCTTCCTCTTCCTCTTCTTCCTCTTCCTCTTCCTCTTCCTCGGGGTTCTCCTCCAGCACAGCATCCAGCGTGTGCCCATCCCCAGCAGCAGGCAAAGGTGAGCCGTGGAATCCATACCAGATGAGCCAAGCAAGACTGCTTAGGGCTTTTGGGCCCAGCTGGCTGTTGCAGAGGGCACAATGTAGGCTGCTCTGGACACTGGCAGGGAGAAGACTGTCCTTGTCCCCACCCTGTGGTGCTTCTGCCAGGGAGATGGGTGGCTTCCACTCGGGGCATATGCAGTTGTATAACATGTGTACCCAGGGCCTCACACCAGTCTTGCATTCAGTCTCAGGTGTCAGGATGTGGCTGTCCACATCACCCGGAGCTCCTGGCCCTGTAACTCCCAGATGTGATTGAATCCCAACCTGAGTACCTGTTCAAACTCAGGCTCCCTGCTCATCTTGCAGAGCCAAGGCTGCCATCTAGTGGTAAAGGGAGGAATCCCTTGGTGGCAGATCATGTAGACTCTGCTCTTAAGAACTGAATTCTGAGCCCAAGATAGTGGCACACACCTGTGATCTCAGCACTGAGGGAGCCAGAGGTGGGAGGACTGCAAGTTTGAGTCCTGCCTGGGAACTAGCTCAGTGGTAGAGTGCCCCTGGGTTAATCCCCAGCACTGCCAAAAAGACAAAAATTAAATAAATGTGAGAACTAAATCCTGGGCAGGGGATGTGGCCCAGTAGCAGAGCACTTGCCTAGCATGCAGAGCACTGGATTCAATCCCCAGTGCCACAGAAACAAACACAAGGACCTAGATCCTCTTCAGATCCTATTTGCTGTGTAGACTGGCCATGGTCCAGTGAGGTTTTGTTCTGATCTGATTTGGAATCCCAACTCTGCCACTCGGTGGTGAGAAGTGCGTGTCCTGACCTTTACACTGAGGTGACAACGCCTGTCTTGCAGGACTCCTGTAAGCCTTGGGAATCTTCTGGCACGCAGGGAGGGAAGCGCTTCTGGGGTGTGTGTTGTTCACTGGCTCAGGACATCAAACCCCTCCGGTGACTTTCTGTCAAGAGCCGGGAATGGGACTGTGGTGTGTGTTTATGTCAGTGTCATACACAGCAGAACACCAGGGTCAGACAAGATTGCATGTGGGAGCGAACCTTGCATGGCTGTGTTATGTACTACACAGAAGCTATGGCATTAGTTCAAACTTTTCTTTAAGAATCCTTGACCAGATCGGGCGTGGTGGAGCCACACACACACCTATAATCCGAGCACTGGGGAGGCTGAGGCAGAAGGATTGCCATGAGTTCAAGGCCAGCCTGGACTTGCAGTCTGGACATAGCAAGACCCTGTCTCAAAAAAGAGAGAATCCTTGACTACATTGACTTCATTAAGGATAGTAGCTGACGGTTTACCACCCTAGTTTATCTGTTACTCCTTTCTTTTTTTTCCAGTACCAGGAATCAAACTGAGGGCCTTGGATTTGCCAGGCAGGTGTTGTGCCACTGAGCTACTGCTGTTGTATTTTAAATTGTTCTTGTGATGAATACAACTATGCCTCGTCCTCATAATTTAAAGCTCAGCTGGTCGTGATTGCATCTCCTTCCCCGCGCCCCTCCCCTGTGCCGTGCGGTCTCCGTGACTATACTGCCAGTTCCCTCTGCTTGGCGTGGGTAGAGTTGTGCTGCCAAAGCGATGAAGACAGGTCCCCCCACCCCTACCACTGGGGACTGACCCCAGGGCCTCTGCATTGAGCTGTATCCCAAGCCCTTCTGTTTCTTTAATCTTGAGAAAGAAGCTTGCTAATTCCAGGCCTGTGCCACCACACCTAGCTGAGATAGAGTCCGACCTTGGGGATGTTTACTGATTTCTTGGTAATCACGCTGAGAATCAGAAAACACTCCAGGGAGCTGCAGGCAGCCTGGTGAGCATGTGCCTGAGACTGTCTGGGGATTTGCCGATGGTGGTGCGCTGTGTGCGTGGGCGACGGGGTCTTGGTTTAAAATCAGTGTGTGTTTGATGACACTGCCTTCGTATGTCATCCTGCAGGGAAGTCCAGCGAGCTTGCAAGTGTTCCTGCCGGTGGCGCCCAGCCTCTGCCAAGCACTGGCAAGCCGGGCGGGCCGGGACCTGCCATACTGCGCCAGGCCCTGGCAGCAGCCCCTGTGGGGGCGTCCAGCGTGCAGGCAGGAGGGATTGATGCTACCCGGTCCACGGCACCACCCACAGCTCCCCCAGCCCAGCCGCAGACCCCGGAAAGTGGAGGCCCGAGGCCGAACCCTGCTTCCGTTTCATCAGCATCTTCTGAGCTGAATAAAACTCAAAGCCTAGGTCGGCGAGATTCCTGTCTAAATTCCAGGATGAAGGCTGTGTCTACTCCTACAGATCCATTTAAAATTCCCAGGTTTTCGATCGGTAAGTAATTGATGATATCTAATGTGTTTTTGAAATGTTGGAGAAAGTGTTCCTTTGCCCTGACAGCCCTGTGCCCCTGCCTCTCGCTCGCCTTGCCCTCAGGGTCAGGGCTGGCACTGTCCCTTGTGTCACATCTTCATCTTCCCCTGTCTGTCCAGCTGCTGCGGAGTTAACCTTGGCGAAGGACGTCCAGCTCAGTTTTCATTTCGCCATCTGTCTCCTGTGGAGCTGTGTTGAGCCTGTTCCTAGCTGCTATCTTAGCCTCTTTCTTCCAACACCACCGTCTCTGCACTGTGGAGTGTGTTTGTGTGGACTTGGTTTTTCCCACTGCTGGTGTTGCCAGTTGTGCGTTTTGAGGGTCTGAACGCTGTGTCCGTCGTTAAGGAGCTGAGCTGCGGTCTCGCAGGCAGGCAGCACCGCTTGTTGCTCAGTGGAGTGGATCTGAGGGGCCGCTGCTTGCGGTAGTTAGTGCTCCCAGGAACTGTTGTCGGCTCTCACTCTCCTTGCTGTTGGAGTGTGACTGTTCCCAGCCCCCCGGGCTCTCCAGTCCCTTGTCCCCTGCTTGCTCTTGTCATGACTTCTGGAGTCTTGTCCTGTACCAGGTGCTGCAAGAGAAGAGCCCTTCTCCCTGTAGCTCCTTCCTCTCCCATCCTCTGGCCTTCCCCTGAGTCCCCTGGGTCCCGTTTCTGTCGCCTGGGGTCAGAGAGCCTGTCCTGCCCTCCCGGGCCTACCCACCTCTAGGGTGTGGTGTACCTGGGAGGTCGAAGGTGGTGTTTGCTTAGGGTCCATGAATTAATGGGACACAGCTGTGTGGCACAGAAAGTTCAGTTCTGTCCTATAGGCGGTGGCTGTCATCTCAGAGCACTGGGCCAACACTGTTATGTTAGGAGTTGTATTGCAGAGATTTAATTGGTACAAAGTTCAAAAGGGAAAACAAAACAACAGAAGCGTAACAAATGTGGTCTGTGCAGTGGCCTTGAACCACCGTCCCAGGCTGAGAGGAGATGGACTGAAGGGACCCAGGGCCAGCCCTGCCCGTCCCCCTTCCCTTCGTGCCGAGTCTCAGTTTCCGGACACAGCATGTAGTATTAACAGCAAGCTTCTTTGATCATCATGTGATCGTCCCAGGGTTGGGATAAGTAAGAGAGTGTTATCAGAGAGCCCTGTTAGTTTGATGTGAGCAAGAAGTTGTGTTGGATGTCACCAGAGTCACTAAGTCAGGGTCTGTGCAGTTACCTGCAGGGGCTATGGAGTGAAGGGTTTTAATTGCATTGTTATCCTGCCGAGTGAAAAGACTAAGAAAACATACACCAAAAGCAAGCAGGGTAGGAGACGCCTCGTGACCAGATCCTCTCTGACATTAGTTTCCTGCCCTGTTTTGTGTGGTTCAAATGTCACGGTGATGCCACCCGTGCCTGTGCAGTTTACGTGGGACCCACGCGGGCACACAGGCTCGTTGTCCCTGTGAATTCACAGCCAGTCGCCCGGTTGCCTGTGTGCAGGGCTTTAGGAGGAGCATGCCGAGATCTCAGTGATCTGAGAGAACAGGGTTGGTGGAGACTGGTTGGAGAATTTAGGGTCCGGTCCAGCTGATGATAATAAATAAAAACTTCGATGAACAGAGCTGCCATTTGATGACAGGAGTGTTAAAGTGAGGTTTTTTTGAGACAGGGTCTCACTATGTAGTTGAGACTGACCTGAAACTTACTATGTAGCCCAGGCTGGTCTCGAATCCACAGCAATCCTCCTGCCTCAGCCTCCCGAGTGCTGGGGATTACAGGCATGCGCTACCACACCCGGCAGTAATACCAACTTTTACCAAAGGTAACAAGAGAAACCAATTTGTTCGTAAACTTAGATTAGCTTAGGCTGCACTACTCACCTGTGAGCGGTAAGAACTGAGCTTTGCCATGGAGTAACCTTGGGCTTAGAAACCTGTGGGGCCTGGAGAGCAGACAGGGGTCGCCCCCGGGTTCACATCTCATGTGCCAGGCTCCAGGCCTGCTGGAGCTGAGGGTTCTACACACAACAAGGCTGGGGACCCTCGGAACCAGGCACCTGGAACACTTTCAGATCAGCCAGCATTTTCCATCACAGTCTGTTAGGAAGAGAACAGATTCTTACCAAGTTTAGGCAAATAAGCACAGTGCCATTAAAAAATACAAACAGGGTTTTTGAGTTTGGGAGGAATTAAGCAGGGAGGAAAAAGTAAATCATTCCCACTGGTTTACAAAAATATATCAAATTACTGTAAACTGTAGATAGCTTCAGAAGCTTCTTTAAATCTAGAAAATAAAAAAAGTAAACTTTCAAGTAAATGGTATAAAGCCCACGTATTTTGCCCGTTGACCCAGTCTCCTTCCTCAGTTCCTCTTCCGTGTTGCCCTGGGCACTTAGCGAGCCCCTTGGCCTCTTCACAAGAGTTCTGGGAATTCCCGTGTAGTCCGCTGGTCTTAGAGTTACCAGCACCCTGCTCACGAGTCTCTTACAGCCAATGACTAATGGTGAACCCGTTTAGAGGAGAATCAAAACTGTGAAGGCCAGAGGATAGGAGTTTGACGAGAGTGCAGCAGTTGAGGAGGGAACTCAGTGGTTTGTACAGCACAAAGCATTTAAGATGACGAGTATGAGCCACAATGTCACACCAGGGCCACCAGGCTGGGATAAAGTCGTCTAATGCTTAGAATATTAAGCCAACAGTATGTTGGGCCGGGGATTTAGCTCAGTGGTTCCACCGCCTGCCTCGCAAGTGCAAGGTCCCGAGTTTGATCCCCAGTACCAGAAACAAACAAACAAACAAGCCAATAGTATGTGCAGATGATATAACTTAAAGAAGGCTGAGTATCCCTATGGATTTTATCAGCATGGCTGGGCACATGTAATCCCAGCACTCAGGAGGCAGAGGCAGGAGGATTGTGGGAGTTCAAGGCCAACCTGGGCTACATAGTTCAGGGCCTGAACTATAAAGTGACACCCTGTCTCAAAAAACAAACAAACCCCCGAAACCCAGTATAATCTCTAAATTTTTTTTTTTTTTTTTTTTATCAGGGATGGAACTCAGGTCCTTGCGCTTGCGAGGCAGGAGCGGAACCACTGAGCTAAATCCCTGGCCCATAATCTTGAATTTATATGTAGTAGTTGAGGCTCAGTGTCAGCCCACTGGGAAATGACTCAGATGTACATATCTGTGACCTCAAACTTTAAAATACATGCAAATTTCACTTACCAACATTTACCCCTCTTACATTCACCTAGTTCTTTTTTTTCTTTTTCTTTTTTTGGTCCTGGGGCTCGAACTCAGGACCTTGCACTTGGGAAGTAGGCGGCAGAACCACTGAGCTAAATCCCCAGTACTCTTTCTGTTTTTAGACAGGGTCTCACTATGTATTCCAGGCTGGCCTAGGCCTTGAACTCATGCAGCCCAGGATGGCCTCACTCATAGCCATCCTCCTGCCTCGGCCTCCCCATTGCTGGGGTTACAGGATGTGCCCCCACGCCTGGCTTCCTTTTGTCCATCTTCAGTCTTAAATTAGTTTAGAGGTTAACTCTTGTATGTTTTCATTTTATCTAGGACTGATTGAAATAACAAACCTCTGGGTGACCTTGAATTTTATAACAAAATTATCTTTGCCAGTATGGTTTGCCTGGCTAAACATTGTGGGTGGAAACATTTTTAAAAATGTTTTTTAAAAAATTATTTATAGATTTTCTTTGGCTTTTCCTGACCCGTGTGACAGACGACACAGTTTTGACACTGCACAGAGAGGTCTTTTATTTTGCTCTGAGCTCAAGATTAGGCCAAGGCGTTGGAGAAGCTTAAAAGAAGGCAGGACAGTTGTAAACCATTGCTTGCTGAAGACTGAGGGTTTCATTTCCAGAAGGGATGACTCTTGGGAGTCTAGGCTGACACAGAGCTGCTGTCAGTTGCAAAACCCTTAATTTGAAAGGTTTCCCCTTCTCCCATCGGGGCTGAAATGTTGTAAGGAAAATCATAAGGCTCTGTCCTTTTTCCACTTCCGTTTGTCTTTATCTTGATATCGACAAATGTGGCAAAGCTGGTGGTTGCTGGGAGGCACTTGTGGATGAGCGAACCCTTCCCACCCTTCCCGACCTCCTGGCTTTCCTGATTTCTTTTTTGTGGCTTCATTTTGACTCTGACAGCCTTCCCAGGTACCTGGGAGATCCTGGCATTGCTCGCCGACACTGGCCGCCTGTGACCCCTGCCAGCTCACAGAATTCCCAAGGGTTCAGGGAGCCAAGCGTCTCTGAGTGCCAGGCACTCAGAACTCTAGGACCAAGGGCTGTAATGATCAGCCAGGTCCTGCTCTCGTGGAATTTATGTTTAATAGAAGATACAAAGTATTATCAAGTGCAGTTTTGGATCCTAAGCGTAATAATAAAATGAATAAGGAGGGTGTCATTTCTGCTGCGTGTTGAGGAGGACTTTAGACACAGTGGTCCTTCCACTCCGATGTCAGGAAGGGCACCAAGCTCTGAACCAGGAGCAAGAGGCCGAGCTGGGGATGGAGCTCAGTGATGGGCATTTGAATGAAGTCCCTGGTTCTGTCCCCAGTACCACACACATGAAGCAGGTAGCCCCTCAGCCACCCCGCGGGAGAACATTCTGGGTAGCAGAAGTGGCACTTGCAAAGGTCCTGAGACAGAAGGGTGTTTTAACAAGTTCCAAGGAGAGAATGAAGACTAGTGGGTATAGGGATGTGTTACAGTAGTGGGGATTAGATTCTTCTACAAGCCTCAAGTAACTGTAGTCTTCGTCACGATAGATGTTTATGTACCTCCCCCATCACAGCGCCAGGTAGACTCTGCAGGGCTGGTAAGCTGCTCCTCAGTTGCAGGGTCCCAGGCTTCTGTGTCGTTTAGCCATGATTAGTTTCCCTTCCTCATGGTCTAATGTGGCTGCACCAGCTCCAGGCCACACGTCCCCCTTCCCAGGCACAATACTTACTTCGGGCCATCTGCCATTTCTTTTTATGTCCCAGTGATCAGGACTCAGTCACATGATCATGCCTCTCATCAGAGGCTGAGAGAACAGTTTCTTCTGCACTCAGCTAAAATGTCTCATGGTGAAGCAGATGTTTGCACCCAGACAGAACTGTGGACAGGGGAAGAATCACAAAGAGCTGAAGGCAAAGCCGGGCACCTCAAGGCCAGCTCACTCGGCACCTGCGTAGTGACCACAGCAGGGACTGCAGTGTCGCCAGCTGCGGGAGGAGGTGCCCGTGCAGGGTGTGACTGGCAGAGATCCCTCTGCTAGGGCAAAGGCGCTCTGGGGAGTCGTGGAAGCCTCGCTCAGACCCACTGAGAGGGGAGGGCCCCCGTCCACCTGAGGTTCCAGGAGGTTAAGGCACCACAGGGCTGTGTGTGCAAGGTACCCATAGCCTGATGTCTGCTGGGTGCCACCTGTCAGTGGCCAGAGGGCTGGCGGAGGCGGGGACAGAGCCCCCTGGCTGCTGAGCTGGGCGGTGTGCCGGGTGGGGGTGAAAGTCGGGCTCCAGCAGAGCAGGGAGCTCGGAGGCGCCCGCTGTGTACTCGGGCGCTGTCCTCTGAGCCGCGCCACACCTCCGGCCCCATGTGCACAGTGGCGGGTGTCCCTCCTCACTCTGCCAGTTCCGGGGTCTGGGCTGCTTTGCTCATCTGGTGTGCAGTGACTCAGATCTGCTTTGCAGCCTCCACAGGCTACTGCTCCTGTCCTCACCGCGCAGCTCATACACCTTCCGTCTGCCACTCATCCTGACGGACCTGCGCTGTTTGGGAGAGGCCAGACTGCTTGGTGCACATAATCTGGGGCACTGCCTGGGCCGCAGCCCCTGCCTCAAGTGTGCTGTGCCCCTCTCTCACTGGGTCCCAGGCGGGGCAAGTGCTGCTCGCAAGCTGCAGGTTTTCAGTGTGACTCTTCTGACCTTTGTCTCGCTCACGGGAGCCACCCTCACTGGAGTAGGGAAATAGAGACATCAGACTTGCCCGCGTGCCGAAGTCCCCAAACGAGGGGCCTCCCAGCGGCCTGTCTGACCATGCCCACCTCTCACTCCTAGGCGGGTCCCCCAATGGTACGACACTGAAGTTCTCGCGGACACAGAGGCTGCAGTCGTGGGCATCTGCTGGCAGGTGAGTCACGTCGGGCTGCTTCCTTTCTTAAGTCGAGAGGACGACGTGTTCCCAGCTCCTCCGAATGCCGCCTCTGCGGGGTGCCCTCCCCGCGGCCGCTGCCCGGCCACCTTTGCAGCAGGCTTTCGGCCACAGCCAAGCCACCTCTGCCTGCCCTGGGGTCCTTGGCGTCCCTTCTCTTGTAGCCGTTACTGTCACTTGTGGAGGTTGGTCGCCAGCACCACTCCCCATTTTCAGTGCGGAAGAGGTGGGGGAATGGGAGGGACTCGGCCTCTGGATTCGCATCTACATGGTAGGGGCTCTGGCGCAAGGCGTGGCCAGCCTGCGTCACACCGCCAGTGGGAAGGGTTAGGCCCAGCGGAGGGAGTGCTGGGCTAGGACACCACAGACAGGCGCTCCCGGCTCTGACTTGGATCATCCTGAGGCTTTCAGCAAAGTCCTGACCGCCCTGGGCTTTGATTTCCTCGTATGTAGACTTGAGCCGCTGCACTCCATGGTCCAACCAAATTCCCACAGCACAGCCATGGGGAGATGCCTTCTCTCCCACACCCAGGGCATGGCGTGGGAGCACAACCCAGAGCTGGACAGCCTCAACCCCCTCAGCTACCTCTCTGTACCTTGGTGTCCCCTGGAGACCACAAGAATAGCTCCTGCCCCTGGGGTTGCATTGAGGATGGCATTTGTTGGCGTTTGTATTTATCATCACTGGAGTTCAGGGTGGAGCCTGCAGGATCAGCCGGAGAGGGGCAGCCGGTGGGGCAGGAGCCTGACCTGTGGGTACCTCTCGCCGCAGGCTCCCTGGGCAGAGTCTGTCCTCCAGGGAGTGTTATTTAGGTTCCACATTCTTTGAAAAATATAGAAGTTGTCCTTGATGCATGAAAAAACAGATAAGTCTTGGGCTCCACATTGGTAAGATGTCCTTGAGTGGTGTTGTTTTCTAAGTCCCTGTTTTTTGGGCTGCTCTACAAAACTGTCGCAGTCTGGGGTTTAACAGCAGAAACAGGTGTTCTGGAGGCTGGACGTCTGAGGGGAAGGTGCCGGCAGGCTCAGTGCCTGGCCAATACCCTGCAGTAGCAGTAGCAGCGGGCGGCCTTCGTACCACATCTTCACACGGTAGTGAGCAAGCCAGCTCTCGGGCCTCCCTGTAAGGGCACTGGTCCCTTCGTGAGGGCTTCGCATCCTGGTTGCATCACCTCCCTAAGACCTCCCAACCCCCACTGAGTTGCAGGCTAGGATTCAGGGTAAGAATTCAGGGGAGGGGCGTGAACAGAGTCCATCTCCAGTAACAGTGGACTCAGCCTTTCTTCATCAACAGCAAGAAAACACATGACAGCCAGGCGGGGCGGCAGATTCATGGGACGCGAGATGGAGACTGTGGTAATTTTGTGTCTTGCCAGTGGGCAGGCTGCAGTCCTGCCTCCCTGGAGCCCCTCCTCAAGGACAGCCTGACCCAGGCCTTGCTGGCCAGACTCGGCGCACTGGCTGGTGGGCGTTTCACTTTGTTCAGCCCACCTCTGCTCACCTCTGACCGTGTCTTCCCAGGGCCGTGGTTCACAGCACTCCTGTGAGACGTTCTTCAGGGCCAGCGTCACAAAGCCCCTCCGGCAGCACGCGGACGCCCACGAGTGCGAGACGAATGTCCGCATTGCCAACGCCTGCCAGCCGGCGCCTCTCTGGCCTCCCACTGATGACCCCCAGAACCATGCCCAGGGCCCTAGCATCCCCGCTCTTTGTCCCTGCCCGGCAGCGGCTGTCTTCTGAGCCCCGGAGGAGATCCGCAGTAGGGTGAGAGCAGAGGTTGCATACCCTGTGCTGGGTGGCGTGTGGTCCTCAGGAGGCGGGGCAGCATCGGCACCCACCCAGCACTGGACGGGATCTGGAGAGGAAAGTGTGGGTGTTCCCTGCTCCTGCCGTGGTTCTTAACTGACTGGTACAGGGCAAACCCAGGTAAAGGCTGTGCTTGGGCCACCCAGGTGGTTGGTACCAGGGCCCTGGGAGGCTGGCAGGGTAGACCTCAGCACCTCCCGCCGGGCTCTTTGCCCTGCCCTCTGGTGCTGCTGTCAGGACTGGTGGCCCTAGGGTCCCCACCTACCTCTCCCACCTCGTCTGTCCCTGTCTGGTCATGGTGCTTACACATACACACACCCACCACCAGCATGCCTGCCTCGCTGCACCCTGTGCCTGTAATGCGCTGTCCTGGCCCTAGCCCTGGCCTTACCACAGCCTACTTCCCTCTCATTCTACCCTTCCCGCTCCTCTTCCCATCACCTGCACCCAGAAGGATGTGGCTGTCTGCCTGAGGGATGTCAGGCTCTTCTGTGGCCACGAAGCTCCCGGAGAGCCGGGACCCTCTGTCATCCTTACCCCCAGAGCTTACACACCCCCAGAACACGGAGCTCCGGAAATATTTATGAGTGTAATTCTTGTGTGGATAGTGTTGGTCTCAGCGTTGGTTCCTTGACTTGAGGCCATGTCTAGGAGCCAGGAGGAGCCTCACTGCCTGCCCCCGTGCCTGGCCTGATATTTAACAGCTGTTAGGGAAAGGATAAAAGGCACAGGGCCAGACCAGAATGAGCCTGTTTCCAGTGGAAGAGAACCTTGGGAGCCACTCAGCCCTCCCATTAGGCAGAAGAAACTCGATGTCGGGACAGCCACAGTGTCCCCGAAACTCTGGCTCTGCTGAGGAGCTAGCACAGGGCCAGGCAGTCCCACCACCCGATGATTCCAGGAATCTCCTTTCTTTCACAGCACTGAGCCAGCGAGGGACAGCGGCCGAGGGCCAGGACATGGGCAGGTGGCTTCCTCACCCAGAGGGGTCTTCTCCCCTCCTCCCTCTGTGCCCCAAGCTCTTTGCTTCTCCCCAGAGCAAAGCAGTCCTTCCTCAGAAGACCTTGCCACAGGACCAGCTCAGGACGAGGCCAAGCCCAAGGAGGACACCCACCCAGCTGAGGTAGGCAGGAAGGTTCATGCCCGCCAGGCAGTGGGGTACACAGAGCCCAGCTGCTCTGCATGGCTCCCAGTTCCCTGCAGCACTCGCCCTGTGGCTGGCTCTTTGCCCTGTTTAGTGAAGGAGGCAGTCAGGGGTCAGAGGGAAGGAATGGGAGCAAGGCCGTGCCTCCACGCTGGGGAGGGCTTGGGGCTTCCTCCGGGTGGTTTGGTGAGCAAAGCCTGTGTCTTTCAAGGTGGTAGACACAGCAGTGCTGGACCGTCCTCCCCTGCGCGGCCCTGCCCCAGCGCTGCTTGTGGACATCGGGTTGGACCAGCTTGCCATCTCTCCTCCGGCCGAGAGCCGCGCCCCAGAGGACCTCCCACTGATCGACCTTGGCAGCACTCCTGGAGCGGATGTGTCTTTGGGGCCTGCGAGCGGACCCTTGATCGACCTCACCGCCAACACCCCGGACATGAGCAGACATGATGTGTCCAAAGCTATGCCAGCCGAGGGCCAGGTGAGGGCCTGGCCATCTGTGCCAACTTTAGCCTGGGTGCTCTTGGTCCCAGGCACCTGGAATCATGGTGGTCTAAGCTTCTCAAAAGTTACCACTGCCAGTAAGGCATCATGCCAGGACCCACCGAGCGCTCGGGGTGCAGGGTTAGTGTCCCAGCCCCACAGCCCATACCTGCAGTTAGGGAGGAGCACGGGCACCTTAGGTTTTGATGTCAGTGTGTCCATCTCTTCCCCCGACATCTCACCGTGACAGTGGCTGTTTTCCTACCGCAAGCCCCAGGAGGATCTGGCGTGCAGGTCTCCGTGGTGTCTGTGGTGGGGCACCTGTGCTGGGGCACAAGAGGCTGTGCTCACCTTGTCATTTGCTCTCCCGCAGCTCATCGACCTGTGCTCCCCTCTCATCCAGCTGAGCCCCGAGGCTGACAAAGAAAACCTGGACTCGCCACTTCTCCGGTTCTGAGAGGTTTGCTAGCTGTGCGAGGAGCAGTTGGTCCTGAAGTGGCTTTGACCTTTAGAAATGTGGTATAGGAAGCATATTTTTTTTAAAGGCTATGTGCATTTTCTGCACCTGGAGGGGCAGCTGGGGACAGTCCTGCTTCCGTAGGCTCCTCCCCTTCTATTCCTAGGCTGGAGTGCGCGCTCTGAATGAAGAATGTGAGGTTTCTGTGTGTAAAATAGCAAGCACCTAGTTTTAAAGTTAAATGTGTATGAAATGTTAAATAATCTAGATTTAAATTAAACTGTAAAATAAAAGTACATTAAAACATACTTGTTTTTGAAGCTTATCCTGATTTTCAGATGTATATAGCTATTCTCATCCCACCCATCACTAAGCAAGACCTGTTATCTGGTCATTAGTGCTTTTATAAGTGATTTTGAAAATTTAGTATGAGTAAAAATTGGCATAAATCCAGAGCCCAGCCCATCCCAGCTATACCCACCCCCATCGCGGGCCTGGGAACCTGCATCTGCCGGGCACTCAGCTGGTTCTAGTGTAGGGGCGAGGGCCACACTTTGCAGAGGCCCCCTAGGCAGTTGGCTTCCTGAGGGAGGGAGAAACATGGGTAACAGGAAAGGCCCAGCCCTGTGCCAAGGCCCCACCTGTTGGCCAGGAGCAAGCTCGGTGTGCTTTCATCAGGGACACCGATGGAGGTCTTGGGGACTAAGGGCACTGGAAACCAGCGCCTGCCTGAAGCCTCTCATTTACTAAGACCAGTGTCCTGGAGGCCCCTGATTTCTGCACGTCTCTTTATGGTTTGAAGAGTCCTTAGTCTGTTCTCTACCATCAGAGGAGACTAGCAGGACCCCACTTCAGTTTCCCTGTATTAGGCCAGGTCCTTCCCTCTTCTGCAGCTCAGAAAAGGGACAGCCAGGCTTGACTTCACACCTCCACAGATAATGTGGCAAATATAGAATGGCCACCTGGAACCAGCTGTGGTGGCATCCAGAGTGGGGAACACAGCTGGCATGGACACACCTGCAGCCAAAGGCTTTGAACAGAAGGCGGGGACATACAAAGATGAACAATGATGATACTGAGCTGGGGCTGCCTCAGGTTTGCCAGCAGGCTAGGGGCTGCAGCAGGTCCCCCTGCAGAGTTGTAGCATCCTAGGTATTAGCACCACAGGGCCCTCACCTAGCCTCTGCTTTGATCCCTCGAATCACAGAGGAATAAAACCAAACCCGGAAGTGAATTCATTCAACAAATGACACCTCTAGTGTGGGTCAGGCTGCGTTTTCCTGGGAGTCCAGTGAAGTACAAAGCTGTGACATCTTGGGGCCTGATGTTTGATGGGGTAAAAAAAGACATCAAACTTGGCTAACCTGTTGTGATAGTCAAATTATGTCTTGGCTGTCTCCACTCAAGCGGTAGTGTTCCACAGTCCTCACCTGGAGCCCTGGGCCCTGGCTCTTCCTGTGCTTTCTCCTCCCTGTGCTGGGCTGTCCTGGAGTCAAGGGTGTGCGGTCCAGTGTACAAGTACCCGGAGCACAGCAGTACTTCTGGCGTCTATGGACAGCTGGAGAAGGCCTAAGCACATGGGTTGGGCAGCACTGTCCTTGTGCTCAAGCTGTACTCCCCCTCATGCCCCCTCTGCAGTTGGACAGCTTGCCTGAAATCCCTACCTTTTCTGGCACCCAGGCCCCAATCTGACCACTCTTAGGGTGCACAGAAGTGCTAAGATGTTAGAACCAACATGCCTCTGGCACTCTGGGCGGGCTGAGGGCTGGTCACCTCCTTAGCACAGCACAAAGGACCCTAGCTGCCAATGGAGCATAACCCTGCCAACCTTAAGGAGTTCAGTTTCCTATGATTTGCACATTTCTGTGGTCAAATGGCTCTGCGTTTTCCATCTGAAATCCACACACCTCACACTGCTGTTGACAGGTGGAGCTTGGGTTATTATCACTCTGCCTTTGCCAAAGCCAGCACACTCAGTAATACTCAGTGAACCCTTGGTGCTAACAGGTGGCCAAAACACCACATTTTTAACTGAAAAGCCACAGAAAATGTGCATGTGTAAATTTCCGTGTGGGAAACATGATTATTGGTTGCAAGTGTTAACTTTAGTAACTCCATTTTGTTAAGTTCCTCCACCTATTGTGGGAATCATGCTTATTAGTTGCAAGTGTTGTTAACTTGTTTTTGTTGAGCCTGTTTTCTCTTTCCTGTGTGAACTCTCATTTCTGTGGAACAGGTGTTGAGGTTACTATGGTAATCCTAGCCCGTAATAGTTTGTGGGTTTTTTTTTCCTTTAAAAGGCTGATGCTTGCCTACAATAAACGTCGCCTTGATCAGACTCTTGTCTTGGCGTCCTTCCTTTCTCTCTGCCCCATCTCCACCCGGCTGCTCTTTGAGGTTTGAGACACTGCTGGACAGTGCTCTGCGTCGCCTGCTCGCAACAGTTCTGGCTACTTTTTGGGTTAGCTGTAGTGCACTCAGGTCCAAAGCCTTTTGATTTAGGCAGGAAGGAACTTACTGTACTGTCTTGGCTTATATCTAGATGTTCTAAAGCCCCATACGCTCACAGACGGGCTTTTGGAAGGTGACTGGATCATGGGTGTGTGATCTTGGTTCAGGGGTTTATGATACTGGATTAGTCCACTGATGGTTTTAAAACTAAAGATGAGGCTGGGAGGGAGAGAGAGCCCGGGCAGCCGGGAAGCCTTGGTCATGGACCAGGGAGGTCCAGGGTCCCTTCTCACGCTGGATGCCCACAAGTCTAGGCGGAACGCGGGGAGCGAGGAGCGTGTTTCCCGCCCGGCAGTGAGCTCGGCCTCTGTGGTGGGGGCGGGACTTCCGGCGCGAGGCGGAAGCCGCCCCCGCGGTGGAGC